GTGCAAAGTCACTCAGCTGGCTTACCTGCCTAAGGTGGGACTAGAACTCACCGTCTCCTGGTGATAGGCCCAGAGACACTCAGCTGGCTTTCCTGCCTAAGGTGGAACTAGAATTCACTGTCACCTGCTCATAGGTGCAAAGTCACTCAGCTGGCTTTCCTTCCTAAGATGGAACTAGAACTCACCGTCTCCTGGTGATAGGCTCAAAGTCACTCAACTGGCTTCAGGTGGAACTAGAACTCACTGTCCCCTGGTGATTGGCTAAAAGTCACTCAGTTGGCTTTCGGGACTAGAACTCACCATCTCCTGGTTTCCAGGCCTATCTTTCTCCCTCCACCAAACCGGGTCTTTCATTTCTCCCGTCTTATTTTTTTCAGACTTTGCAAAATTCTGCCCGTATAGCTTTACGAGCTCGCCGGGTTTTCTCTTCCGATCTTGTTTATCCCCGGCACCTGGTTGCTCTGCATATCTGAAACCTGCCCTACTCAGATCTGCGTTCTGGAGCCACCCTTTTCAGCAAGAAAGGAAGGTAGGAAAAAAAGAGAGCTATTTCGTCTCGGCCACTCCTTGTCGGTCATTCGTGTCCCTCCAGGTTCCTGAGCTGGACTTAACTCTGCTGCAGACCCTGCAGGATTTCCCAGAGATCGTGGCTCACGGCACACTTCTGCGCCACTGGCCCGCCATTCGTCAGCACGGCCTGTCCCGGATGGGGAGAACCCACATCCATTTAGCCCCCGGGTTGCCAGGGGAGGGGGCCGTCCTAAGTGGTGAGTGCTCCATTTGGAGGAGGAGGGGGGGGAAGGTGGTCTTCTGATCGGTGGCCTCTGGCTGTGGGATTCCTGTCCCTAGCCTCCCCTGTCTGTTGGGAATTTCCAATAGCCTGTCATTCCCGCTTGGTTTTAATCGCAGTTAGCAGCTGTTTCCTTTGGGAGACCATCCTGGATTTCTTGTAAAGGCGCTTGGTACAAGCAAAAGACTGCGCAGTAGGTGGAGTGCAGTATTGTAAGCTAACTCACTGCTCACTGCCAGCAGTTCGATCCTGACTGGCTCAAGGTTGACTCAGCCTTCCATCCTTCCGAGGTCGGTAAAATGAGGACCCAGATTGTTGGGGGCAACAGGCTGACTCTATAAACCGCTTAGAGAGGACTGTAAAGCTGCATGAAGCGGTATATAAGTCTTAACTGCTATTGCCCTTCCTTCCTTCCTTCCTTCCTTCCTTCCTTCCTTCCTTCCTTCCTTCCTTCCTTCCTTCTCTTTCCTTCCTTCCTTCCTTCCTTCCTTCCTTCCTTCTCTTTCCTTCCTTCCTTCCTTCCTTCCTTCCTTCCTTCTCTTTCTTTCCTTCCTTCCTTCCTTCCTTCCCACTGGATAGAACGCAATATTGAAGGCTAACTCTGCCCATAGCCAGCAGTTCGATCCTGACCGGCTCAAGGTTGACTCAGCCTTCCATCCTTCAGAGGCCCGTAAAATGAGGACCCAGACTGTTGGGGGCAACAGGCTGACTGTGTAAACTGCTTAGGGGGGTGGTGGTGTCTATGACAATTCACTGGGGCCAACTTGCCACAGGAGATCTCGTTGTGGGACAAGAGTTACACTAATATCGAAGAAAGGGTGGAATAGAACCCTCAAAGAAAAGGATGCGAAAGGAGGGACAGAATGAAAAGGCGAATGGCCAAAATTCAAATATTTTTAAAATTTTATTTTAAACCGTGAAATAGAATTGTTAAATTGTCCCGTGGCGAGTGGGCTGTGCCAAATTGACCCATTCCCCCAGAGAGGGCTGTAAAGCACTATGGAGCGATATATACATCTAAGTCAGGGGTCTTCAAACGTGGCCCTTTGATGACCTGTGAGCTCCCAGAATTCCTCAGCCAGTGTCTGACACTGAATTACGGCCCAGCATGATGTGTGAACCTCCACCAAAATAGTTGAATAACCAACCTGGTATTTACAACCCTAACCTGGGATTAAGCCTTACTGCGTTCAGCATAGCCTCTTCTTTCTCTTCGCAGGAATGAGAAACAGTTCTGAAGTGGCCATAATCATTGATATCCCCAAGGCACTGGCAGGTGAGTGAAGACCAACCTTGTAGAGCAGAAGACAGAGGAAGAAGTATAAACCTTTAATTTAACAGAGACGGTTTGCCTACAGTGGGTGCTCCATCACTGGAGGCTCTTAAGGAGAGATTGGACGGCCTTTTGTCTGAAATGGCGCACGGTCTCCTGCCTGAGCAGGGGGTTGGACTAGAAGACCTCCAAGGTCCCTTTCAACTGTGTTATTCTGTCTTCTGAAGCGGAGGGTGGAATTTAAGGATGGGTGGCAACCAGTCTGAAATCCTGGGAGAGAAGTCCCAACTTGTCTACCCGTCTTTTAGACGACAGGGGAGGAAAGGGCGCACGTTCCTTGACTCAGAGAATTTCTCCTTCCCCTTAGATGGAATCTCTTTCTTCCGCTCGGCGAATGGAGTCATCCTGACCGCAGGCAATGCAGATGGGCTGCTGCTTCCCTGCTACTTCTGCAGAGCACTGCAGCTTCAGCCTCGGCGTAAGTCTGAAGCCACTTCCGGGTCTTAGGCCCAGTTCAGGGCTCTGAACCGCTCAAGACACGCGTGCGGAAAGCCGTCAGCTTGAAATCTGGAAGAGTTTCAGTGTGGGATCCAGAGGGGCTCAACAGATGCCACATGGAAACAGCTGGTCTTCTCTGGACCTTCCAGATAGGTCACCGCTGTAGGTAGTCCTCGACTTACAACAATTGGGCCCAGCATTGTCATGACCAAGCAAGGCGGTCGGTTAAACGAGACGTGCCGGGTTTTACAACCTTTGGGGGCTGCTTGTTAAGGGAATCCCTGCCCTTCTTAAGTCAACCAGCTTTGAAAAGTTGCAAATGGCGATCCTGTGATCCTGGGACCCAGCAACCCTCATATAAAATCCACGCCTGAAAAATTTGGATCCCGTGACCTTGGGGGACGCTGCCTCAGTTGTGAGTGTGAACAAGGATTGTAAGTCCCTTTTTCCCAGGGGTGTTGTAAATTCAAGCGGTCGCTAGACGAACGGGTTGTAAGTTGAGAACTACCTGATAAAACATAGTCACGAGTCGTAGCCTAAATCAGAGGTCCCCAACCTTTTGGGCACCAGGGACCGGTTCCGAGGAGAGAGGTTTTTCCACGGATCGGAGGGTGCGTGGTTTTGTGTGCTGCCTGTATCTTGCAGGTGGGGCTTTGCTTGTTTGTGTGGAACGGTTGCTGGCATACTGCATCCTGGTACGGGGTTTGGGGACCCCTGGCATAAATAACAGAATCTCATGAATCTAAACCAGAGGTCCCCAACCCCGGGCCATGGACCGGTACCGGGCTGTGGCATGCCAGCAACCGGTCCGCACAAACAAACAAAGCCCCATCCGTGGCATGCAGGCAGCACACAAAACCACGTCCCTCCGGTCCGTGGAAAAACCTGTCTCCACGGAACCGGTCCCTGGTGCCCCAAAGGTTGGGGGCCTCTGGTCTAAATGGGCTTCCTTCTCCCTATCTTTGTGGGAGCTTGGGAAGGGCGTGTCTGAGATACATTCTCCAGTTGCTTTTGCAGAAGGGGGACTCAAGCCCCTCTTATCTGGCCGTTACCTTGCCAGCATCTCTCTGCCCAGTCTCCCCAGGCCAGGCTCACCTTCCATTACATCACGGCAAGGAGTTCCTTCCCTTTTGGTTTTAAAACTGCAGCCAGGAGTGTAGGTTTATATTATGCAGGGAACAACACCCCTATCCGGGCTGTCTGTTTTTCTCTTCCCAGGTGGCCTCCTGCCTCTTGAGTGACCGTGGACGTCTTCCCCTCCTTCATTTCCTCTGACAGGCAGCCATTTATAAAATGTGGGGGGTCTGAACACATAACTAAATGAGAAACCTCACCACGCCATTAGAACAGATGTAATTTCATTTGTAATGTGTGCCATTGTGCCCATAGTAAAAAAAAAATGACAATAAAGGTTCTCTCTCTCTCTCTCTCTCTCTCTCATCTATCTTTGTATATCTATCTGTCATATGAATCTCTATCTATCTATCTATCTATCTATCTATCTATCTATCTATCTATCTATCTATCTATCTATCTATCTATCTATCTATATGTCATATGAATCTATCTACCTACCTACCTACCTACCTATCTATCTATATCTATCTATCTATGTCATATGAATATCTATCTATTTATCTCTATCATCTATCTTTGTATATCTATCTATCCATCTGTCATATGAATCTCTATATCTATCTATCTATCTATCTATCTATCTATCTATCTATCTATCTATCTATCTATCTATCTATATCTATCTATCTATCTATCTATCTATCTATCTATCTATCTATCTGTCTATCTATATCATATCATAAAAATGGTCGTAAAATTGGGTCTGCCTTGGCTTCTGACTGCAATGACTTAGGATGGGAATTCTGGTCCCAATTGTGCTCGTAACTACCTGTAGCTGGGGGGGGGGAGAGACATTAAACATCCTCCTCCCAATCTAGGCCATTCTGAGAAAGAATAATCACACTGAGGAAGAAAGCGTTTTCATGAAAAATCCTCTTTATAGCCCCTTGAAGACGATAACACAAAAGCACTCAACACAATCCACATAGCCTCCCCCCCCCCCCCCCGCAAACCGTACAAAAAACAACGAAAGTACCTGAATCCCAGCTTGGCGTTGGGTAAAATCCCTGAGTTTCTCGGAGGAGGAGGAGGAGGAGGAAGAAGGAGTAAATATTGTCCTTCTTGGCAAGATATTTGAATATTTGAAATTAGTCAACTACTCGAACTCTGCTGTTCAGTCTTGGCTGCGAGCTCTCGAATTGACTGCTTTGAAGTACTAAAAAAAAAAAACCAACACACACAAAACCCACCAACAAACCATAGTTAATGCAGCCTTCAAATCTTTTGAGAAAGGTTTCTCTTATCTGGGGAACGTTCTCTCCATCGTTTTCCTAACTGCTCTCCAAGTCTTTATGGATGCCTGGACTCCAGTAAGGACCTTCAATGCCCCCCATCCCCGTAGCATATTCTGGAGATCAGCTGCTCCTTGGAGGGGGGAAGGCTTTGGGTAGGAGAAACATCAGAGGGCTTCGTGGCCCCCCGTCAACTTGTGGAAGAGCTCTTCGTTCAGCGTCTGGCTTCGGTCAGCTGTCCGGGTGGACAGGAAGATGTAACCCCCGATGTATTCGTGGACTGTCTTGCAGCCGGCGGAGATGCAGCTAAAAGCCACGTTGATGTGCTCATCAAATTCGATGGCCACCTGAGGAAAAACGACAGAGAAAGATGGCTTTTGCTTGAACCGACAGAGTTCAAATCCATTTTTTCAAGAGCTCAGCTCAGTGGTGGCGAACCTATAGCACGCGTGCCAGAGGGGGCACTTGGAGCCCTCTCTGTGAGCACGTGCGCCTCGCTCTTTGGCTAGGTTTTCGCAGGAAAAAGCCATTTCTCAAGCCCCTTCCTAGCCAAAACAAGCCTCCGGAGGGAGCGCGCTGTTTTCAGCTTTGAATTATATCCAATCTGACACCAGAAACAGACTTAACAGATGACCTGAGTGCTGCCTGTGTGGCTCTCAAACTTACAAAGTATGAGCCGAGGTTAGACAAATTATCGGCATGCATACAACAGCAAAAAATCACCTTAATTGTTCAAAAGCATGCCAAATGCAAACTTTTACCTTTCAGTATTGTATCATTGAAAGCTCTGTTATTGTGTTTTTCTTTTAAGACAAAAGATGTTAATGTATGAATTGTTTCTTCTAAACTAAAACCTCACTATTCAGATTAAATTCCCGTGTTGGCACTTTGCGACAAATAAGTGGGGTTTGGGGTGCAGTGTGGGCACTCGGTCTCTAAAAGGTTCGCCATCACTGGCTCAGCTTTTCCCCTCCTTCGGCGTGGGCTCACCTGCCGGATGTCCCAGTTGACGTTCCACTGACGCATGTTGCTGTACCGCCATGTCTTCACCACGTCGCCGACGGCCAGGTCAATCCGGATCAGGCGGTTGTTGGCGATCCCCAGAATTTCGTCTTTCCTGCTGCCTTTGAACCTGCACACAGGAAAGGTCGGAACCCCGTAAACCCATCAGCAGAATGACAAAAAGAGAAATGAGGAAAGGCTTTGTACAGTTGTGAGTGGCATGGACATCGCCCCAGAGAAGATGTATTCAGGGGCCGGATGTCCGTGGGGATTCTTGAATTTGGATTCCGACTCTGGGCCTAGGATAGGATTTGAGGACATCTAGCTCTCTTTTTCCTTTCCTTAAGTTGGAAACCATCTCAGATCTCCTCTGGATCAAGTCACCACCCAGCTCACCAAGATACAGTAGGTAAGAAGCATGTAGATTTCAGGAAGGTTTCTTGAATGAGGAAGGGAAGGAAGGAAGGAAGGAAGGAAGGAAGGAAGGAAGGAAGGAAGGAAGGAAGGAAATTTCTAAGAAGTATGTAAATTGCAAGAAGGTTCAAGGATGGGAAGGAAGGAAGGAAGGAAGGAAGGAAGAAGGAAGGAAGGAAGGAAATTAAGTATGTAAATTGCAAGAAGGTTCAAAGAAGGAAGGAAGGAAAATTTCCAAGAAGTATATAAATTGCAGGAAAGTTCTTTGAATGATACTCTTAGAATCAATCCATCAATCTTGGAAACCACGAAAAAAATTCCCAATCTTCTTTTATCAGTGCGTACATTGATTTGAAACGTTCCTTTCCCAGTTTTTTAGCACCTGGCCTTCGTTGCCCTCTACGAAAAGAAGTAGCAGCAGACACCCCCCCTCTTCCCTCTGCTGACTGCCTGTCTCCCAATCCTTTCCCCAAACTCTTGACACCCCTCCAGGAAGCCCACCCACCTTCTCAGGAGTGGAATGCAGCCACCCCGGGGCCGTTCCTTACCTGACCACGAAGTAGGAGATGCCAAAATCAGGGAGGGATTGCCAAGCCTGGATGAATTTCATCTTGACTTCAGCCAGAGAGAGCGGAGACACGTTCTGGTAGGCCTCAAGGATGCGGGGAGTTAACTGCAAACATTCGCAAACGAACGATCAGAGGGAAACGGAGGCAAGGCGTCAAGTCCCTCTTCCTAGCTGCATTCAGGACTCTGTTCATTTCCCACAATCCTAACACAACCTCCATCCAGGGCATTGTGGGAAATGACAACGGCCGCCTGGAGGACGAAGGATACCTGCTTAGGTTTGAACTTCTTCTGGTAGCGAGGAGACACCAGCCACTGGGTCCCCTCCGTCTCGGTAGCCAGGGACATCTCCGGATTGGTCTTCTGCAGCTTCAGGAAGGAGAGAATGTTCTCCTTTTCGGCTTGGTAGGAGGCGTCCGCCATGGTCTTCCCCTTCGCTGCCAAACGGCAGCCGGCCATCCAACTGGCGTATTGCTGCTCCTGTGGTGAAGAAGACGGGAGAGAAAGATGCTTCGAACGTTCCTACAGCTTTAGAAGGCGAACTCTCCCGCAGGAGAACGGGTGGTTCCCCTACGTTGGAAGTCCTGAAGCTCCAACTTCTGAGATACTTTCGTTCCATCTCGTGCTTGAGGTCCGAGATGGAACCAAGGTTGGTGCCCAGCAAGTTCTGCCCGACTCGCATTCTCAACTTGGCTTCCTTCTCTACCCGTCTTCGTAACACTTACGTCCACGCATCTCAGGTGTACTTCGCTCATCCCATCAGGAGAAGGGACCAGCAACTTGATGCAGAATTTCTGGCCAGACATGTTGACATCCGGCACCACTTCGCAGCCTGGAGTGTTGGGGGAAGGGAAGAGAGAGAGAGTGAGTAGAAGACTTCAGACTCAATAAGAACACAACACGGCCTGTGGTCTCACTAGCCCCACATTTCCAAGTGGGACTCATCTTTCATGGTTTCCAATGTTTGGCATCCAGGCTGGGAAGTGAAAAGCGTATTTGGAGACCTTTATTTAGAAAGGGACCACTTTGCGTACATGGTCTACTCTGCCTGAGGACCAGCGGGTTCTTCTCCAGATCCTTTCAGCCGAAGAACCAAGAGGTTGCAACCAAGGCTGTGGAGGAGTGGAGTAGCCACTAGGCTGTGCCATCTTCTCCTTGATATGATGATGGACTCACCTTTCAGGTTGAGCTGTTGAACAGGTTCTCCCAACGCATCTTCTGGGCTCTTGAAATACGAGATGGTCGTTTCTTTGAAGATCACCCAGTACTGCTTATAACCTTTCAGAGTCAGCTTGCGGGGCCTGGGAGGAATAAAGAGGGCCGAAAAAAATATGGCTGGAGAATCGTAGAGTTGAAGGCACCTCCGAGGTCATCTACTCCAAACTCCTCAGTGTGTAGGAAAAGCACTTAAGCCATCCTCAAGAGGTGAATATCCAGACTTTTCTTAAAAACCTCTGGAAATGGAGACTCCAGATCTACTATCGCAGGGTTTCTCAACCTTGGCAACTCAGATAGGTGGACTTCAATTCCCAGAATTCAGTGCTAGCTGGGGATCTTAAGATTATGTTAATCCAACAACTCACAGTGACACAACCTTGGGAAAACCTCTGCTAAAGATCTGCGGCATAAAAACCAGGCCTGGCATTACGAAGAAAATAGGCAGGTCTGTTGAAAAGGACTAACCTGAAGATTCGGAGGTGATCCCTCAGTTCTGGGATGGCTGTGAGACTGTCCTAAAGAGGAGGCCAGAGGGAAACAGACAAAAAAAAAAAGGGAGAGAAAAGGATTATTGTATTTCTGAAGTACCTTATACAGTGTTTCCCCAACCTTTAGTCATTTTAAGATGCATGGACTTCAATTCCCAGAATTCCCCAGCCAGCCAGGATCCTTGACTTGAATGGGGGATTGATTGATTGATCCTGGATTGGTGCAACAACAATTATACCTTTGATTAGAAAGAGGCAACTATTGCCCCTTTTACGACTGGGGACTTCAACTATCTCATATGTATCTATCTATCTATCTATCTATCTATCTATCTATCTATCTATCTATCTATCTATCTATGTATCTATCTATCTATCTATCTATCTATCTATCATCTATCTCTGTATATCTATCTGTCTGTCTGTCTGTCTGTCTATTCTAATCTAAATCTATCATCTATCTTTGTGTATCTATCTCATCTCTATCTATCAATCAGCTCTATCTGTATCTCTATCATCTATCTATCTATCTATCTATCTATCTATCTATCTATCTATCTATCTATCTATCTATCTATCTTCTATTATCTATCTAAATCCACCCATTACCTGTCCGTCCATCCATCTATGTTATCTTTTTATCTCTATCTATGCATCCATCAATACAACTATCTATCTATCTATTTATATCTTAATCCATCTATCCATCCATTCCTCTATATCTTAATCCATCCATCCATCCACCCATCTGTATGTCTATTCATCTATCTATCTATCTATCTATCTATCTATCTATCTATCTATCTATCTATCTATCTATCTATCTATCTATCTATCTATCTATCTATCATCTATCTATCTATCATCTATCTATCTCTATCTGACAAGCAAAGTCAACGGGGGGAAGCCAAATTCACTTAATAACTGTGTTAACAACTGCAGCGATTCACTGTAACAACCGCGGCGAGAAAGGTCATAAAATGGGGGTAAAAATTCACTTAACCGCCATCTCAGCCACAGAACTTTTGGGCTCCACCATGGCCGTAAGTCGAGGACTTCCTGTGAAATCTGGGTCCTTACCAAAACACTCGGAGCCGGGCCTTCCAGTTTGATCTCCAAGTTAGCTAAAGCCTTGTCCAAGTCATCAAGGCCGGACTCGCTGGACTGCTCCACGGGGCTGGCGCTCAAGGACAGCTGGTTGATGCGATACTAGAAGAGAGCACCGATGGGCAAAGGTTGGCTTTGCATGTTTTCTGGTCCTAAGGCGCTGGATAATTATTGTTCAAGGGCACAATTTGTGTGTGTGTGGGGGGGGGGAAGAGGGCAGCATTACCTGCAAGGCAGCAAAGACAATCATCTCTTCCTCCGTGCAGTCGGTCTCTTCCAAGAGCACAGACCAGCGGGCCTGTTCGTACAGCTGATTGATCCTGACAGCGTCGTACTGCAAGGAAGGGAGGAGGGTGTGTGTGTGTGAGACAAAGCAGCAGTCTGGTTGAAGGTTCACCCCTCTTGCGAATGCTGCCAGCGGTTCGGAAGCTTGGCCTTCTCCGAAGGGAGCCAGGTCGCACTCCGAACTCGGGAAAAGAATTAAAATATAGAAGAGGAGACTGTATTTGTATACTGGAGTTGAACTGCGGGGGTCCTTGGTGCTCTCTGAGCTGGGTGGTTTTCTTGCAGACGTTTCGTTACCCGACTAGGTAACATCATCAGTGTTAGAAGGGAGAGAGGCTTGTGAGGAGAAGGGGGAGGGGGTGGAAGAGGAAGACTCCTTACAGCTCTCCGAGCTTGTTTTCTTGCAGACGTCTCATTACCTGACTAGGTAACATCATCAGTGCTAGTAGGGTGTGGGGAGGAGAAGGAGGAGGAGGAAGATTCCTTGATGCTCTCTGAGCTTAGTTATTTTCTGGCAGACATTTCATGACCCGACTAGGTAACATCATCAGTGCTAGAAGGGAGGAGAAGGAGGAGGAGGAGAACTGTGGGGTCCTTAGGGGTCTCCGAGCTTGGTTGTTTCCTTGCAGACGTTTCATGACCCAACTAGGTAACATCGTCAGTGCTAGTAGGAAGTGGGATTGGTTCTCACAGTCCAGAAGCAAACAATACCCCAATCAAGCTACTACCAACTCAGACAAAGAAATTAACAGTAAACAACAGCCCAATCAAGAAATCACAAAGTCCATTCCCACAAACACTGAGAGGACAAGCCACGTGTATAAAAATGAAGAGCAAACTCCACTCCTTTCTAGCACTGATGATGTTACCTAATTGGGTCATGAAACGTCTGCAAGGAAACCACCCAGCTCAGAGAGCACCAAGGACCCCACAGTCCTCCTCCTCCTCCTCCTCCTCCTCCTCCNTCCTCCTCCAACCTCTCTCCCTTCTAGCACTGATGATGTTCCCTAGTTGGGTCATGAAATGTCTGCAAGAAAGCCACAAGGCTCAGAGAGCACCAAGGACCCCACAGTCCTCCTCCTCCTCCTCCTCCTCCTCCTCCTCCCACTCTTCCTCCTCCTCTCTGCAAATTCTTTCCCTTCTAGCACTGATGATGTTACCTAGTTGGGTCATGAAACGTCTGCAAGAAAACCACCCAGCTCAGACAGCACCAAGGATCCCACAATCCTCCTCCTCCTTTCCTCCTCCTTTCCTCCTCCTCCTCCTCCTCCTCCTCCGAGAAATCCCCCCCCCTTTTTTTTAACATCTCACATAAACGGAGGGGAAACGCGCCTGCCACGTTGGCAGGAAATAAAGATTTGCAGTTCTGTAAAACAGCCGGATGATTCTTTTGTATTACTCAACCCCCTTGAGCCACATGCTTTCTGTTCCCTTTTGAAAGGATGCTTTGCGCTGGGGATAGATAGATATATATATTTCCCCCTCTTTGGGATGTGCCAACGTGACTCACGCCTTTCACCAGCAACCGAGAGAGAAAGGATGCAAAATCAAATCTTAATTTGACTTGAGGGAAAGAATCTAGAAACGGGCAGGAAATCTGAAAAGCCCTGTTTTAAAAATAAACCACACACACACACACACACACACACACACACACACACTGCAGGTGGGCCTTTCCCTATCATCAGGGCTGAAATCCAAATCCGTGCCTCAGAAGAAAACGTAGCCTTTCTTGCCTGGTCATGAGGACTAGAAACTTTGGCTTGCAAACTATCCCCTTGTTGTCGTCTGATCCTTGACATGAATGGGGATCGACTGATCCTGGATTGCTGTAGCAACAATTTTACCTCAGATCAGGGGTAGGCAACTGGGCCCCCTTTTACGACTTGTGGACTTCAACGCCCAGAATTCCTGAGCCAGCCATGCTGGCTCAGGAATTCTGGGAGTTGAAGTCCACAGGTCGTAAAGGAGCCAGAATTGCCCACCCCCTGCCTTAGATAAAAGTGGAGAAAGTGGAGAAATACATATTTGAAGTTCCCTAAGCCTCAAATAAGTAAATAATAATAATAATAATAATAATAATAATAATAATAATAATAATAATAATAATAATAATAATAATAATAATAATAATAATTGTTATGCGCCTTAAGATGTTCACCTTTGGCTCCAGATCAAAAAAGCTGTAATACTTGAAGCGCAGCCATAAACAATCCTGTTCTTTTACTTCTTGTTGTAGCAAAGTGCGGGATGAGTCCAGCCACCTAAAAAAAAGGAGGAGTAAACTAGGATTGGCTAACAGAAGCAAAGAATCCCTGCAGTTGTTAAGTTAGTAACACCGTTGTTAAGCGAAACCGGCTGTCCCGTTGACTTGGCTTATCAGAACGTCGCAAAAGGGGGTCACGTGACCCCGGGAGCCAGCAACCGTCACAAATAGGAGCCAGTTGCCCAACGTCTGGATTTGGATCCCGTCACCATGGGGATGTAAGTGTGAAAAACGGTCCCAAGTCAGTTTTTTTTTTCAGTGCCGTTGTAACTACAGACAGTCACCGAATGGTTGTAAATCAAGGTCCATCTGCATTTATTCAATTTCTAGATTTATAAAGTTCTACGGAGCCCCGTGCACCATCTAGGACAGTATATAAGATAATCATGAAAATATAGTTAGGGGTAAATTGGTGGACAGTTCCAGTGCTGAAATAATTACCGGATTTTTTTTTCTCCGTTTCCCTACCTACGCAATAGTTTAAGAGTTCTTAGATACTATTGTTAGAAAATTATAAAAGGGTGGGGGGAGATTTGGCTACCTTTGGGGCGCGTTTAGAGGCGAGCCCTTTTGGATTTAATTGAATTTCACTCTTTTGGATTTAATTGAATTTCACTCTTTTGGATTTAATTGAATTCCAGCCTGGGATAAAGCAGAACCCCTTAAGTTCATCAAAAGGAACATCTTTAAAACGACAGAGCCTCCACGTTCAGAGCAATATAAGCTTTAATTACCCTCAGTAAGGGGGAGCAAATGGCACCCAGCGTTTAACGGGGGAGCCTGGGCAACGGAGCAGAGAGCAAAATCAATTTCACGCTTCTCAAGTTGCAGCGGGGAATTGCAATTGAGCAAAGGATGGGATTTAGCAAGAAAGCAAAAATTAGATTCTCTTAAATTGCGTCGACAGTCGCCATCTACGAGGTGGTGTTTCCGAGCCGAATGGCCGACAACTAGAACCAGAAAAGGTGGTCCCTAGGACCGGCCACGTAAGCCTGCTAGACGAGCCCTCAGTCCGACCAAACCGACTGGCTGTCGTAGGCTATCGTTCGGAGCCAAAGCCGCGACAGGCTTTTCACTCGTCCGTAGGGAGCCTTCCCGACAACGAGACGCGGTGGGAGAGGGAGAAGGAGGGAAGGAGAGGGGAGGGAGGGAGGGAGAGAGAGAGGGAGAGAGGGAGGGAGAGAGAGGGAGGGAGGAATAGAGACAGGGAGGGAGGAAGAGGAAGGGAGGGAGAGAGGGAGGGAGGGGGAGGGAGGAAGGGGGCGAGGGGGAGGGAGGAAGAGAGACAGGAAGGGAGGGAGAGAGGGAGAGAGAGGGAGGGAGGAAGAGAGAGAGAGAGAGAGAGAGAGGGAAAGAGAGAGAGAGAGTGTCACGGATCGGTGTCCGGCTCCCAAATAATCCTTGGTTAAGGCCAATACAAGAAGTCCTCGACTTACAACAGTTCATTTAGTGACCATTCAAAGTTACAACGGCACTGAAAAAAAGTGACTGATGACCCTTTCCCACACTTACGACCCTCGCAGCATCCTCGCGGTCACGCGATCCACATTTGGACGCTTCAGATGCACTGCAGTTGTTAAGTCAATAACACAGTCGTCAAACCAATCTGGTTTTTCCCCCCCCCCACACTGACTTTGCTTGCCGGAAGGTCGCAAAAGGGGATCGCGCGACCCCGGCAAGCGTCCTAAAAGCCAGCCAGTGGCCCAGCCTCTGAATCCTGACCCCTTGGCCAGGGGGATGCGGCCAGCGCTGTCGTCACAAAATGAACCGTTGCAAGTCGAGGACTACCTGTACACACGTGTGCACGCAAAGTTGTGAGGTGCTCACTTGCTGGCAGCCGGACGCTGGACAGGTCGTAGCTCCGGCCGGCGGTCTCCTCTTTCTCCTTCTGCTTCCGCTTGTCCTTCTCCTCCGGCGCACGCAGCAGGGACAGCTCTTCCGGGTGACGGATGGCTGCAACGGGACAGGAGTTAGCCCACCCCCCAAAACCCGGACGCGTTCCCAAGACCCAATCTAACCCTGGTTGGAGACAGGCAGGGTTGGAATCCGAAGAGGATGGCTGGGTTGTCTATTTTCTAGTCCCCCCCCCCTCCCCATACAGGTCATCCTCCACTTAACGGCCGCAATTCAGCCTAACATTTTTGCTGCTAAGAGAGATATTTATGAAGTGAACTTTGCCTTGTTTTACGCCCTTTCCGGCCACAGCTGTTAAGTGAATCCTGCAGTGATTAAATTAGGAACTCGGCTTCCCCATGGACTTTGCTTGCCGGACGGACGCAAAAGCGACCCCCCTAGGAGACCGCAACGGTCGTAAATGTGAATCAGCTGCCGAGCGTTCTGAATTTTTATCACGCTGTAACTTCGGTGCTGTTGTAACTTCAAACGGTCACTAAATGGACTGTTGTAAGTCGAGGACTACCAGCATTTATTTAATTCAAGCAGAAGTCCCTTTTTGGGGGGGGGGTCTGTTGTAGCTTCAAACCACTGCTCAGCAACTGATGATAGGTTGGGGATTTCCTGTGCAGCTGGGATTCCCATCTCTACCCCTTGCCATCCTTTAAGCCCGAAGCTTTGAACGACGTTCCCTACTCACCAACGTTCCCTACTCACCGAGTAGCCTGCAGATATCACAGACGGTGCGGAAAACAGGCTGGGCAAAGTTGGCCCGGACCCGGACCTGGCAGCGGTTGGGCAGGAAAAGCATCACCGGTTTGTGCTGGGGTGTAAAATGGAGCTTGGCATCGGCCAGGATCCCGTATTTATCCAGGCTCCAGTTGGTCTTCAGGAGCCAAAGTTTCTTCTGCTCCCACCACAAGGCGTGATCCGACCAGTCCCTCTGAAGTTCTGGAGAAAGGCGACAGGAAGGGAGAGTCCCATCAGGATGGAAAAGCAACAGGGAGCAAGGAAGGATTTGGGTCTCCTCTTTGACCCAAGAGACAGCCGGAAGGGCAGGGGCGAGCTCGGAACGAAGAGATATTGCCCTGGATCACCCTCAGTCTAAAATAAAAAGCCCTGCGTTGTGTGGTCTCCTGAGCCGAGACACGGACATGATAGCAGTGTTCCAATATCTCAGGGGCTGCCCCAAAGAAGAGGGAGTCAAGCTATTTTCCAAGGCGCCTGAAGGCAGGACAAGAAGCAACGGATAGAAACTAATCAAGGAGAGAAGCAACCTAGAACTAAGGAGAAACTTCCTAACAGTTAGAACAATTAACCAGTGGAACAACCTGCCTCCAGAAGCGGTGAATGCTCCAACACTGGAAGTTTTTAAGAAGAGACTGGACAGCCATTTGTCTGAAATGGTGTAGGGTTCCTGCCTGAGCAGGGAGTTGGACTCGATGACCTCTAAGGTCCCTTCCAACTTTATTATTATTATTATTATTAAACACGCTCCTGAAGTTGATCATGTTAAGAATAAGAGCTGAGGAAGCCGAGGAATCTAATAGCGGAATTAGCAGAGAGGGATTGGCGTCGTCAGTTTAAAACACGCTGATCTGTGGAGAGAACTTTGTTGTAGGCGTAGAGTCAGAGGTCAATTGATAATTGGACTTATAACTGCGGTAAAGATCAGAAGCTACTAGAAGCTTTCTTTTCTCTCGTTTGTTTAGTTTTTCTTCCTTTCATGCACTTTCTCCGATTCCTTTTTTTATTTCTTTTCCTGACTTTATATTTGTATGTATTTTTCAATTAATTTTTATCTTCCTTTCTAAAACATCTATCTATCTATCTATCTATCTATCAATCTATCTATCTATCTATCTATCTATCTATCTATCTATCTATCTATCTATCTATCTATCTATCTATCTATCTATCTCTATGTCATATGAATCTATCTATCTATCTATCTATCTATGTATCTATCTATCTACTATATCTCTATATCTCTATCTCTATTATCTCTCTCTCTCTCATCTCTCTACTATATCTCTATATCTATTATCTCTCTCTCTATATATATATATATATATATCGCTATCTCTCTACTATATCTCTATATCTATCTCTATATCTATTATCTCTCTCATCTCTACTATATATATCTCTATCTCTATATCTATTATTTCTCTATCTATCTCTATCTCTCTCTGTCTCTACTATATCTCTCTATCTCTCTTATCTCTCTCTCTCTCTCTCTATCTCTATCTATCTATCTATCTATCTATCTATCTATCTATCTATCTATCTATCTATCTATCTATCTATCTATCTATCTATCTATCTATCTATCTATCTATCTATCTATCCTACCTATCTATCCTACCTCCCTACCTACCTATCATCTACATAAAGTGATTTCTAACCACCTTTCCCAGCTCTTCTGCCTTCCCAGTGGGCAAGAACTATAACTCCCAAGATTGTCCGTTCACCCGGTTATTAGCTGAAGACGATGTAGAAGAATTTTTCCCCCCTCTTCGCAAGAGAGGAACAAATAACTGCAAGAATTGTCCAGTTCCCCCCCCCCCTTTCCGGATGGGGCTCAAAAACTGTCAAAATAAACTCAAAAAAATTTAAGGAACTGCTGGAAACAGTTTACTTCCGGGCCTGGTTATCGTTTCCCAGGGTGTAAATGAATAGTATCTACCCCTGTGGTTCCAGGACAATATTTTCCATGGCTTATCTGGATAATGCAGGGGTCCTTTGAGGAGGAAAAGGACGACCACAGCCTTCAAGCTGAGTCACAGCGCCCTTCTCCCCTGCAGTCAGCCATTTCCCTTTCCTTCCTACTGTGTGTGTGTGTGTGTGTGTGTGTGTGTGTGTGTGTGTTTTAGATAGGAGGAAAATTTGAGGATTTCTCAGGGTCTCCCACTTGAGGGGGCTTCTAATTGGGGTATGATTTCAGTACATGGGAAATCGCCACGACATAATACAGGCAGTCCTCAACTTACGACTTACGATCCAGTTGCCAAATGCACAATTTTGTTCATGTAAACGTGGGGATGCCGCCATTGTTACAAGTGCGAGGAACAGTCATAGGTTAATGCTATTGTAACTTCAAACGGTCATTAAATAGGCAAGCTGAGGACTATCTGTGCACTGAGCTGGGTTGTTTTCTAGCAGACGTTTCATCACCAAACTAGGTAACATCATCAGTGCTAGAAAGGAGGGTTTTTTTTTTTGCTGCAAACCACCTTTCTTGCACTGATGATGTTACCTAGTTGGGTCAAGAAACGTCTGCAAGAAAACCACCCAGCTCAGAGAGCACCAAGGACCCCTCATTTCAACCCCGTAGTTGCAAATACTCTCCTTGGTTGGTACTTACTTAATTTGTCCGCAATCAGTAACATGATGCCTCCGATGTGCAGGTTCCCGGTGACTCGGAGTTTGATGGGGTCCGCCTCGGGTCCCAGGTCCTCCACGAAGATACTGAGTTCCCAGGAATCGTCGATATACTCTCCGCTCGCTGTTTTTATGCCAGCCATGGTTGGTCCTTAACGGAGAGAAAAGGATGAAGGATGAAGAGGTGATGTAAAAAAAAAAAATCAGTCTCTGCTGTGTCAGTCTAAAGCAGTCTTTCTCAATCTTGGCTACTTGAAGGTACGTAGGTGGACTTCAACGCCCATAATTCCAGCAGGCTGGCTGGGGAATTCTGGGAGTTGAAGTCCACCCTTCTTCAAACATGCTGGCTGGGGAATTTTGGGAGCTGAAGTTCATGCACCTTAAAGCGGTTGCTGGAATTGGGTATGTCTAGTTTAATGAAGAGAAGGACGAGGGGGGACATGATAGCAGCCTTCCAATATCTCAGGGGCTGCCCCAAAGAAGAGGGAGTCAAGCTATTCTCCAAAGCGCCTGAAGGCAGGACAAGAAGCAACGGGTGGAAACTAACCAAGGAGAGAAGCAACCTAGAATTAAGGAGAAACTTCCTGACAGTTAGAACAATTAACCAGTGGAACAACCTGCCTCCAGAAGCGGTGAATGCTCCAACACTGGAAATTTTTAAGAAGAGACTGGACAGCCATTTGTCTGAAATGGTACAGGGTTTCCTGCCTGAGCAGGGGGTTGGACTAGATGACCTCCAAGGTCCTTTCCAACTTTATCATCATCATCATCATCATCATCATCATCATTATCACCACATCATCATCATCATCATCATCATCATCATCATCATCATCATTATTATTATTATTATTATTATTATAAAGCCCGCTGGCTGGGGAATTCTGGGAGCTGACGTTCATGCAGCTTAAAGGAGGAAGAGAGTTCATAGCCTCCCTCCTCTGCTAAATTTCCCCCATTGCACAAGTCAGAATGGGCTGTGGCCAACTTGATGAAAATGAGGGGTCCCTGATGCTCTCTGAGCTTGGCGTTTTTTCCTGCAGACGTTTCATGAACCAAACTAGGTAACATCATCAGTGAAGCCTCCTCCCGCTTCAAGCCCTGGGGGTGTTACCTAGTTTGGTAATGAAATGTCTTCAAGAAAACCACTCAAGAGAATATCAAGGACCCCTCATTTCAGAATAGCAGAATAACAAGAGATGGAAGGGACCTTGGAGGTCTTCTAGCCCAACCCCTGCTCAGGCAGGAGACCCTATTCCATTTCAGACAAATGGTGGTCCAATCTCTTCTTAAAAACCCACAGCAAGGGGAGGAAGGGAGGAAGGAAGGAAGGGAGATGGGAGGGAGAGAGAGAGGAAGGAAGGAAGATAGGGAGGGAGGGAGGGAGGAAGGAAAGCAGAATAACAGAGTTGGAAGGGACCTTGGAGGTCTTCTAGTCCAACCCCCTGCTCAGGCAGGAGATCCTATTACATTTCAGACAAATGGTGGTCCAATCTCTTCTTAAAAACCCCCAGCAAGGGAGGGAGGGAGGGAGGAAGGAAGGGAGATGGGAGGGAGAGAGAGAGGAAGGAAGGAAGGAAGATAGGGAGAGAGGGAGGAAGGAAGGAAGGCAGAATAACAGAGTTGGAAGGGACCTTGGAGATCTTCTAGTCCAACCCCCTGCTCAGGCAGGAGACCCTATTCCATTTCAGACAAATGGCGGTCCAGTCTCTTCTTAAAAACCTCCAGTGTTTCAACCCCGAGCTACAAATAGCCTCCTTTCTCAGATTAAAGCAAATGAACAGACAGCAAGTAGCAGGATTCTCACAACAAGCCAGCCACACTGCAGGTCGGTGTCCCAGGAACCATCCAGTTGCATCCAAAAGCCAACCAGCGTCACAGGTTGGCACATCCAGACCGCGACACTCCTAGTTGCCAGGAAAAAGATGCCAGCCCTGTTTGCCAAACTTGCCTGGAGATTCTCCCCAGGGGGTTAAAAAATGCCAAATTTTCTCCTCTCCATTCTTCCTGCTGCTCCCTTTCCTTTTCCCCCTGCCGCAGTTTCCCCGCTGGACCTGTCCGTGGTTGAACTTCTGTGATTATTAAGGCCAATTAGCCAGCTATCGATTTTTTTCAACCAGTGGATCCACGTTTCTCCCACAAAGGAGTTAAAATCCAGGAAAACCTCTTGAGTTTTCGTCTGCGGGAAGTGACTCAGAGGCTGCAGCTCTTTTGGAGAAAATAAACTGTGCATTAGTCACTTGAGCGTGGCCTAGGTGTGTCCCGGATTAAAATACACCCACTTCGTTTTATGTACCTTCTACATACCTGCCCCGTCCACTTCAAGGAGGACCTTCTACTCCTTGAGACAAGAGTAGGATGATTGCCTACCCAACGGGATCCCGTGCACCAGAGAAAATGCGGATTTAGCGCCCAAGATGGCTGACCCGGTGACTATAATTTGCTAAGGGTTTAAAAAATGTCTTGTCCCCGTGTTTGGCATCTTCCCTGCTCATCAACCTCCCTTCTAAAGTTTGGAAAGCAGCTCCCCTTCATCCCGCCAGCCCTTCCCCTCCCAGGATTTGGCATCTGGAGGGTAACGTGCTCCTGAAGAAGGAGGCTCTGTCGAAGGCAGCGGAGCCGATTGGAAATAAGCAGCTGGTCCACCTTTGGTGCCCTCCGTCAGGATGGCGCGCAAGGCAGCAAGGAGCCTAAAAAATCCAGATAATGTAGTGTCATCAATCCTCCAGGCCTTTTTGGAGTTTGCAAGGAGCATCACCAGCCCCGCCACAAAGGAAGCTCGGCTAGAAAGGGTGGCGGGACAGAACCTGCATTGTTTTCAAAAGAGAAAGAAAGGTTGGAAAGGAAAGGGGAAACGCAGAACGTACCTTCCCCGCTTCGGTCTCCCCCTGAAGTTTTTTCCAGACCCCAGCTGGATTCGAAAACGCCTCCTGGAGGTCCCCCGGCTGGCCTTTTGTTCTAACCCGCCTCTCCCTGCAGGTCTTTCCCCAAGTCAGGGCGTCTTCTTGCACCCCACCCCCTTGCCACTTCCTCCCAGCTGCGTGGAGGGTGACACACACAGCAGTGCCCCAGGCTTTGAGTAAAGCCCTTGCAAAGCCCCCACCGCCGAGCGCTGTTTACACGCCTCTCCAGGCAGCCCCGACAGCCAAAAGGAGAACTTAACGCTTGCTGTTTTCTGGGGGAAAGCCCGAGTCGCCAAGAGAAGGCCTTTTAAAATATTAAAAAAAAGAGACTGGGTTGTGTGAATTCCAAGATTAGAAAAGCAAATTCTGCTTTTGAATATAATGTTTCCCGCGTTCCTCTTCTCTCCTTATCGTTCTGGGATACCTTGACTTAACGACCGTTTAGCAACGGCTTGAAGTTGCAACGGCACTGAAAAAAACGGACTTACGAGCAGTTCTCGCACGTACAACCTTCACCAGCGATCAAAATTCAGACATTTGGCCACTGGTGTGTACTTAAGATTGTGGCAGCGGCACCTGACCGTCACTTGCGACCTTCCCAGCCGGCTCCCGACAAGCCAAGTCGAATGGAAGAAGCTGGGTTCGCTTAACCACCGCACGATTCACTTAACAACCTGCAGGGACTAGCTTGAGAACCGTGGCAAAAAAGGCTGGTAAAATCGGGCGTGTTTAACAACCTCCTTGCTTAGCGACGGAAATTCTGATCAGGATTGCGGTCGTAAAGTCGAGGACTACCCAAAGAGTGAAAATCCTGGTCGGATAAAAGGAGGCGGTTGGAGTAGCAAGGACCCACAGTGCCTTCGTTCACCTTTGATGGTGAACTTACTACAGGCAGTCCTCGACTTACAACAGTTCATTTAGTGACCGTTTGGCACTGAAAAAAGTGTCTTAGGAGCATTTTTCACACTTACGACCTTTCCAGCACCCCTGTGGTCGCGTGATTGAAATTCGGGTGCTTAGCGACTAGTTCGTATTTATGACGGTTGCAGCATCCCTGGGGGGGGGTGTCACGGGATCCCCTTTCGCCAGCAAAGTCAATGTGGGAAGCCAGATTCATTTAGCGACCGTGTCACTAACTTAAACAAGAAAAAGGTCGTGAAATGGGGCAAAAGCTCACCAACTTAACACTTAACAACTGTTTTGCTTAGCAAGATAAATTTGGGGTCGTGAATTCAGCTTAAAAAAATAAAACAGCCTTTCGGGATGCGAGATCTCGGAAAAGATCGACTTCTGAACTTGTTCACACATTTCAGAGAAAAAGGGGGAGAAAAAAAAATAGCTGACAATTTTTCACATCCGGTGACAGTTGTCGGCAGCCCTTTCGTTCCGAGCGTCGCCCTCAGCGTTTCTCCAGGCTTTTTCATCTCTAGATCATAAACAGCGGGGGATGAAGCTTCTTACTTCCTCCCCCCTTTTCCTTTTTCGTATGTGGCAATAGTGAAACACAACCCGAGTTAGCGTTGGCAGCGCGATAGGATGCAAAATTTATTTTTTTTAAAAAAAAAAACCCACAACGTTACAAAGCTACAAAGCTTGAAAAAGAGCCAGGAGAAATAATACCAATCTGCAAGGAGCCCTCGGAATTTAGGTTACTAAGAGGGCATCCAGCAAATAGCTGGCAAATAGATGGGGAAGAAATGGAGGTAGTGACAGATTTTATCTCCCTGGGCTCCAAGATCCACCGCAGGTGGGAACTGCAGCCAAGAAATTAGAAGATGCTTGCTCCTGGGGAGGAAAGCTATGGCAAATCTAGACAGCATACTCAAAAGCAGAGGCATCACCCTGCCAACAAAAGTGTGTATAGTCAAAGGCCATGGTTTTCCCAGTTGCAATGGATGGCTGTGAAAGTTGGACCCTAAGAAAGGCTGAGTGCCAAAGAATGGAGGCCTTTGAACTCTGGTGCTGGAGAAGACTCCTGCGAGTCCCCTGGACTGCAAGGCGACCCAACCGGTCAGTCCTAGAGGAGATCAACCCCGACTGCTCTTTAGAAGGCCAGATCCTGAAGTTGAGACTCAAGTCCTTTGGCTACCTAATGAGAAGGAAGGACTCACTGGAGAAGAGCCTCATGCTGGGAAAGATTGATGGCAATAGAAGAAGGGAATTTGCACCACGGTTCTTCGGATGGGGTGCTGTTCCCCTGCTCGACTTCCTTCTTTTCAAACACAAAAAGATTTGCCTGTTTATCAGCTCAGTTCGTTCCTCCAGACGCTGGATAGGGAAAAAAAAATATCCCAATTTTACCTCTGTCTCTAGCGCCCTAGCCTTTTCATTCAATTAAACCCAAAGCTGTAGCTCTATCCCTGTTTCTTGTAGCCTTTTGACTCAAATCTCTTTTTAACTTAGCCGGCATTGTTAGTTTGCCAAGAGGTTAAGTTTGTTTGAGCAGACTTCTCATTATCGGCCTGTTTCTTCGCCCCACACATTTGTACGAATCGCGGCTAAAAAAACTTGTAACCCCTTTTCGCTGAGCTGCTGGTTCATAACGTTGAGTAAGCGGGATCGTCTCCGTTTCCTCTTTTTTTTTTTCTGGAGGAAAAGGGTCACACGCTTATTGCGTGCTGGCTCACTCGCTCGCCGTGTCACAGGATGGGTGGACCCGCCCCTCGTCTTCGCCCACTGTCGCAACTGGGGTTGCTCTAGCCGAAGAGAAGGGGTGGGTGCAGAAGTGGTGCCCCCCCCCCAAAAAAAGGATCTGTAAATGTTTCCGAGGAAAGCATCGGCAGATGTGGAGTGCGTGAACTTTTGTGGGTCAAGATTGCCCCATTTGGTTGTGTCTGTCACAAACACCTCGCCCTTAGCCTGGTCTCGTCTGGTGCAAGGAAAACAAATTCTTAAGAAGGGGGAACGTTGAGGGCAAAAGGAGCGAGTTTGGTCTAGTAGTTAAAAGGCGCTAGGTTAGAAATTGGGCGACGGTGAATTCTAGGGTGGAAGCTGTCTGGGTGACTTTGGGCCAATCACCAGGAGACGGTGAGTTCTAGTCCCGCCTTAGACATGAAAGCCCACTGGGTGACTTTGGGCCAATTACCAGGAGACGGTGAGTTCTAGTTCTGCCTCAGCCATGAAAGCTGTCTGGGTGACTTTGGGCCAATCACCAGGAGACAGTGAGTTCTAGTCCCGCCTTAGGCACAAAAACCAGCTGGGTGACTTTGGACTAATCGCCAGGAGACAGTGAGTTCTAGTCCTGCCTTAGGCCCGAAAGCCTACTGGGTGACTTTGGGCCAATTACCAGGAGACGGTGAGTTCTAGTCCCGCCTTAGGCATAATAGCTGGCTGGGCCAGTTCTCAGTCCAGCCCACCTCACAGGATTGCTGTGGGGAAAATAGGAGGAAGGTGGGTTGCATATGTTCTCCACCTTACTTGTAAAAACAATAAAGGCGGGATACAGATAAGTAAAATAAAAAAGGTGTAAGGAATGTGCGCTCATTGGGGGAACCTTGACGTGCCTGGTTCCCAGTAAGCTTTATCAGAATTTCCGTGGCAAAGTTAACTGATACGTTTCTATTAAAACAGTCATTCTTTCTTGAAGACGGCAAAAGTAGAAGGGCAGAGAAGTAACTTGAGGTTGGCCAGTTGCGACTATCTCTGCTTATGTCCTCTAGTACCTCCTTCTTTCCAGAAATGTACGAGGGTATCCTTTCGTCTGAAACAGTTCCTCCTGCTCAGCTCTGGAGGGAATTAGATAGTCCTCAACTTACAACCGTTCATTTAGGGACCTCTGAAAGTTACAAGGGCACCGAACAAAGCGACTTACAACCGTTTTTCACACTTCTATTGCAGCGTCCCCACGCTCGCGGGATCCAAATCCAGACGCTTGGCAAAACCGACTCCTATTTATGACGGTCGCAGAGTTCCGGGGTCATGTGATCTCGCCTTTTGACAAGCCGACTCAGTGGGGAATCCAGATTCCCTTAATGACTAACTTGTGACTAACTTAACAGCCGGAGCAATTCCCTTAACAACGGCGTGGCGAGGAAAGTCGTAAAACGGACCCAAGCTTGCTCACAGGTTTCACTTAGTGACAGCAAGGACGGGCTCAATTGTGGCCGTTAAGCCTTAAGGGCCGTATTTCAATCTCCAGCCCAAAATGGGTCCGTGCAAACGGAACCAGCACGTTGTCAGCAATTGTCAGAACCGAACGGATCCCCAAATTTATAGATTTCCGTCTGCCGAGAATCAAGCCTTTCCAGGAGAGGGAAGAAAAAAAAAAATGAACAGGGACACAAAAAGTCCAATTTAAGCAGCCTGAAAAGCGAACCACTAATCCATTAAAAGGGCGAGCAACGTAGCCGTTAAGAGGAATGTAAAAATGTGACGTCTTGCCACACCGAAGCACACTGTGGCTGCAACTCCACAGAAATGGGAGACGTTCCCCCTGAGTGTCAAGATTGCGCCAATTCGGAAAGCTGACGCAACATTTCCAGATTGCACAACTCTGCCCCAACTCTTTTTAATCACCCTCTGACAAAGTCTTAGGGGAGCGGAAGATGATTAAAATCTTCCTGGACAGAAATACTTGCGAACAACTGCAGTTTTTCTCGCTGACAGCAGATGAGCAAAAAGAAGAGAGGGCGGGAAAAGAAAGAATAAAAAAAAAATGAATTAAGGAATCCTGTAAAAAGGGCAAGTTGCAGAACGCAAACTTTTGATGCAAACAAAATGGGCCTCTCTGAAGTTTCTTGAATGCCCAGTTCTGTATAGCCATCCCATGTCTGAACGCGTCGATTTTTCACCCCATCTCAGCAAGATTTTGATCCTTTAGACCAGTTATTTCTCAACCTTGGCCAGTTGAAGATGTGTGGACTTCAACTCCCAGAATTCCCCAGCCAGGCATGCTTGCTGGGGAATTCTAGGAATTGAAGTCCACACACCTTAAAGTGACTAAGGTTGAGAAACACTGCTTTAGACCACTCCCCAAACTCTTCCTTTCTCGAGGTGGTTCTTGATTTACACCATTCGGTTAGCAGCCGTTCGGAGTTACAATGGCACTTTAAAAAAAGTGACTGATGAGTTTTTCACTTAGTCTGTTGCGGCGTCCCTCCGGTCTCATGATCAAAAATTGAGACACTTAGCAACTGACTCATGTTTACGACGGCTGCAGTACCTTGGGGTCGTGTGAGCTATTTTTGTTGACCTTCTGCCAGGCCAAGTCAATGGGGCAGCCAGATTCGTTTAACAACCGTGTGTCTAACTCAGGGATCTTCCAACTTGGCTCTTTTAGGACTTGTGGACTTCAACTCCCAGAATTCCTCAGCCAGACATGTGTGCCTGGCTGAGGAATTCTGGGAGTTGAAGTCCAGAAGTCCTAAAAGGGCCAAGTTGGAAGACCCCCGGCTTAAAGATTTTTTTTTCTTGCGCTGTTGTTCTGGGATCAAACACTGATAGCCTTGGTCCTATTACCTAGTTGGGTCACGAAACGTCTGCAAGAATTCTGGGAGTTGAAGTTTACAAGTCCTAAAAGGGCCAAGTTTGAAGACCAACTGCAGTGATCCCCTTAACAATCACTATGAAGTGAGGCCAAACTCACTTCACTGTTTCACTTAGCAACGGAAAGTTTGGGCGCTCGTTAAGTCAAGGACTACCTATAACAGGCTGGCCTTTATTCGTCTGTCGAATTGACGGAAAAAAAAAAAGCTTCAGAGAATCGACACGGGAAGACCAGGCCTCTAATTTTGCTTTTTTTTTTTATTTATTTATTTGATGTGCAGGAGACCAAAGTAAACCGCAGCCTCACAGTCGAACGAAAAACCGGAAAAACAAGTAACGAGGCTTCCCATAGCCTGAATTAAAAACTGCAAGGGAAAGGGGAAGAGAGGGAGACCCCAAAAAATAAAAATAAAAATATGGCAGCTCACAACAGGGGGTAACCGAAACAGAGCAACGGGCCTGGACAACGGACAAGGCCGATATTCCGGTGCCGGATAGGATGGTTAGTACGAGCACGCGCGTGTGCGAGAGGCGGACGCCTTGTCTCAAATGTGTGAGTCTCTGCCTTTTGGCGAGGAGATGGCCCCGCTGGACCGATTTTCATGGAGAGGTCCATCAGGCTGCCTTTTTCAACTGGGGGGGGGAGAAGTGTAAAGTATGGTCAGAAACATCACCGGATGGCGATCAAGCCAACATCCATGAGCTTCTGGATCTTCTGAGCAATGACAGGGTTTTTCAAGTGTCTGCGGAAAGGAGAGAGAAGACGGTCAGGAAGGTCCGTAAAGAGATTTTTTTCCGTGTTTGGGCCACATTTAGCAAATCTGGAAGGCTCCCCAAAGCTTAGTTAAAAGAATAACAAGAGTTGGAAGGGGCCTCGGGAGGACTTCTAGCCCAACCCCCAGCACGGCAGGGGACTCTAGACCCTTTCAGACAAATCTAGAAGAGATCGTTCAATTATATCTCAAAAAACCCTGTGGGAGAATGTGTCATTTTCACAGCCTCTAGCTCAAGTGTGTCTCAAGCTTGGCAACTTGACGATGTGTGTATTTCAACTCCCAGAATTCCCCAGCCAGCCACGACAAGCAAAGCATGCTGGCTGGGGAATTCTGGGAGTTGAAATACACACGTCGTCCACTGGTCAAGCTTGAGAAACGCTGAAACTAGCTTAGACCTGGATGTTTTGTGGACCCTGGGCCCAATTTCTCCCTGTCTGGCCCAGGTGGTGTCAATAGGGGATTAAAAATCAAGTGTACATAAGTCCCTGCCTTGCTTTTATTTTGGAAGGCAACTCTTTTTCCCTTCAACTTATGGATGTGCATCTGTGCGTGCCGACGCACCTCCCCAGCCTTGTTGGCCTGGCCCTCTACAACGGTCTGTGATGTGGCCTCCCGGAAAAAATAATTGCAATTCTAGCTACAATTCATTAGCAAGCAACTTGGCAGAGAACCAACGCTCAGGATCCCCTCATTTTTCTCTTAACGGGTTCTCCCCAGCCCTCACACTCACTCGCTTAGCGCCTGTGGATCTTTCTGCATCTGCTCCAGGATCAGCCTCATGGCTGGATCGCTCATGATCTGCTGCACCTCAGGATCGGCCATGGCCCGGCGCTTCACATCCTCGGGGTTGTCGTTGCGATTGTACTGGGACATCAGGCAGCGCTGGTAACCTTCCGCGGCTTCCTGTAGCGTTGCACACCCAGGAGAAAAACCTGTCTAGAGGACCGTCGTTGTGCAGGACGCGTCTGAGCAAGCAACGTCCCCTAATTACGGCCTTTAATGATTGTTTCTTCCCTTAGCTTCAAGTCTGCTGGGCCACATGCTATGAGTCCTCACTTATGACCATAATGGAGCCCAACCTTTCTGCTGCTAAGTGAGACATTTGTTAAGTGAATTTTGCCCTATTTTACGACCTGGCTTGTTACGGATGTTAAGCGAATCGTTCTTCAGTTAGCAACGCGGTTGTTAAGTGAATTTGGCTTCCCCCACTGACTTTGCTCGTCAGGAGGCTACAAAAGGGGAATGATGTGGCCCCCGGGGATACCGCAACCCAAGTCGGTTGAATTTTGATCATATGACCACACGGGGAGGCTGCATCGGCCGTTAAGGGTTCAAAACGGCCACAGGTCACTTTTTTCCAGGGCTGGTTGTAGCTTTGAACGGTCACTAAGCGAGGACGGTCCGCAAATGCTTATCCTTGAGGACCGCAGGGGATCAACAGGCCGTTCCTTGCCCCTCGCCCTCCCCGCCGCCGGTGTGTCTGGCCAAAGCCCTCACCTTGCAATTCGCGTCCAGCTCCAGGGCTTTCTGATAGACGTCCATGGCCTTGGTGTAGTCCTTCATGGCTTCCAAAGCCGCCGCTTTGCGCGTGTAGCCTTTGACTGCAAGCGAAGAGAAACGCCGTCCGCGTCAGAAGGTGGGACGGCATTTGCTCCAGGGTTGGCTCTCCCCTCCGCCCAAGAGGAGGAAAGGGGGCCCTAGGCATTGAGTTAACGCTTCTCAACCTTGGCTGGTTGAAGAGGGGTGGACTTCAACTCCCAGAGTTCCCCAGCCAGCCAGCCAACCAGGCCCCACAGAGCCCCCAGGTTCAAATCCGTTGACTTACTGAACGCGGGTTCTAAACGGATGCATTCCTCGCAGTCCTGCGGAACAAAGGAGGTGCTTTTTGGTCAGTTTCTCAGCAAAATGTGTCTTTTGCCCCCTCCCCTCTTGTCCAGCCCAATTCTTATCATCTCTTATTTCAATGACCTTGGTTCCCACACTAGGTCCAGTATTGTTGTGTCTAGCTCAGGGGCAGGCCACCTTGGCTCTTTTATGACTGGTGGACTTCAACTCCCAGAATTCCTGAGCCAGCACGGCTCAGCTTGGAAGCCTCTCCCTTTCCCCTCAGCGTGGCTGGTTCGGGAATTCTGGGAGTTGAAGTCCACCAGTCCTAAAAGAGCCCAGGTTGCCTACCCCAGGTTGTCTAGCTAAACTCTCATGCACATTCCTCCTCCCAGCATCATCTAACTCTAACTCTAAGAGTAAAACATAGGAAGGAAAGGGCTGCATCTCCAACGGTTGTCAAAGCAAAAACGTCCGATGTTCGCAGCATTGACCCCGCTCGCTAATCTTCCCAATTTGACCTCGCTATCCAACTCTTGAGGAGATGCCATTTTGACTCTTTCGGGATTGTGGGAAGGGATGAATTAGGGGTGGGCGTCCCGTGGAGACTTCCGGGATTTTAAATTCAAGATTTAAAGTTAAAGTGTTATCCAATTTCCCCTTTGACTTGTCTTGTGAAGTCACCAAAAGAGGACCCCGGGACGCTGCGACCGTCATAAATACGAGTCAGTTGCCAAGCATCCGAGAATTTGGATCTGCGCTGACACCCCTTACGACGTTTCCACCGATCCCCACTTTTTTACCAGAGTTCACTGAAAAAAAAGTCGCGGCAGCATTGAAACTTGCCGACAATTTGCTTACAATTCGACTCCTGACGGACTTTACCTGACCTGTCGTCTGTTGGACCATTTGACCTGAAGTCTTTACCGGCCCCGCTTTTCGGAGACCACGTTTATCGCAAAGAAAAAAAAGTCTTTTTAACATCTCCAGAGTCTTCCTGGCAGGCTAGCTTTCTGCATGCAGGGATGATAAAAGAAATACAAAGAGGTCACGACGGCCTCTCCCCAAACAAGCTGGGGGGCTCACCTTGAGCGCTAGCTGGAACTCCAGCAACTTGGTGTAGCAGGCAGCCCTGTTGCTGTACAGTTTGGCATCGCTGGGGTTACGCTTGATCGCTTCGGTGTAGTGCTTCATGGCTTGTGGATAATCCCCTGCGGGAGAAATCCCCTGTCACTGGGTGTACAGAGCCTCCAGGTTCCAAGGCAGTATTATAATAATAATAATAATAATAATAATAATAATAATAATAATAATAATAAAGTTGGAAGGGACCTTGGAGGTCATCGGGTCCAACCCCCTGCTCAGTCAGGAAACCCTATACCATTTCAGACAAATAGCTGTCCAGTCTCTTCTTGAAAACTTCCAGTGTCGGAGCATTCACCGCTTCTGGAGGCAGGCTGTTCCACTGGCTAATTGTTCTAACTGTCAGGAAGTTTCTCCTTAGTTCTAGGTTGCTTCTCTCCTTGATCAGTTTCCATAATGACTGCCGGGCGAAATAATAACGGTTGGGCTTTCTGGCTGCGCTTGCAGGCTTCCTAAAGGAAGCAGGTTGTTGACCAAGGTGGAGAAATGAACTGGATTCGGGGCGTAATTTCTCCAGCAATTAATCCCCTAATCCCACTGTCAGGAATTCCATCTTCCTACAGCGTGGAGGGAAGTAAACTCTCGCCAAGTTTCGCCCCATCTGCAGAAGCCGCATTTTTAAGAAAGCCTGGAGCCTTAATGCAGTTTTTTCTCAGCCTTAGCCACTTTTAAGCTGGGTGGACTTCAGCTCCCAGAATTCCTGAGCCAACGTGTCTGGCTGGGGGATTCTGGGAGTTGAAGTCCGCCCCGCTCAAAAGAGAAACGCGGGCCTAATGGGGCCAGTGTGGGGAGCGCTTTTCCTCCAGCGGGGAGAAATGGATTAAGTCCAGCAAGTTTTTTTTTACACTGATGCAACACGCAAAGGACAACAACACCCAAACACAACCCCATCACCTTTCTGGAAAGACTCGTTGCCTTTGTTCTTCTCTTCCAAAGCCAGCTCAGGGTTGATGTATGCCTCCTTTTCTTGCTCTTTTAAGATTTTCTCAGCCTGGGGAGAAAAGGAAGTTTAAATATTATTCATCCAGGAACAAGCTCCGGTACGAAGGAGCAACTGGACGGGGAGTTCTAGCTGGCTGGGTGACTTAGGGTCAAATCACCAGGAGACGGGGAGTCCTAGTCCCACCTGAGGCATGAAAGATGGCTGGGTGACTTAAGGCCAATCACCAGGAGACGGTGAGTTCTAGTACCACTTTAGGCACGGAAATTGGCTGGGTGACTTAGGGCCAATCACCAGGAGACAGGGAGTTCTAGTCCCGCCTTAGCCATGAAAGATGGCTGGGTGACTTAGGGCCAATCACCAGGAGACAGGGAGTTCTAGTCCCGCCTTAGCCGGGAAAGATGGCTGGGTGACTTAGGGCCAATCACCAGGAGACAGGGAGTTCTAGTCCCGCCTTAGCCAGGAAAGATGGCTGGGTGACTTAGGACCAATCACCAGGAGATGGTGAGTTCTAGTCCCGCCTTAGCCACGAAAGATGGCTGGGTGACTTAGAACCAATCACTAGGAGACAGGGAATTCTAGCCCCGCCTTAGGCACAAAATATGGCTGGGTGACTTAGGGCCAATCACCAGGAGACGGTGAGTTCTAGTCCCACCTTAAGGCATGAAAGCTGCTGATTTTGTATCCATCCCTCTCTCTCAGCTCAACCCACTTCAGGGGCTTATTGTTGCGGTGGGGGAAAGAGGAGGAGGAGGAGGGAGTATTAGGCACCTCTGCTGCCTTGAGTTTATAAAAAATAATAATAAAGGCAGATGATAAATAAATAAAAAGAGGAGCCGGAGGATGCGGGGGCTGCTGGAGAGGGTCAAGAACAGGAGTCAAAGGAGTCAAAAACCAGGAGAGTTACAGGAGATGGACACTCGCCTGCTGACATTTCTTCAGCACCTCTGGAGTCCGGTGCTCAGCCAGAGACTTGTTGTAAAACTGGATGGCTTCCTTGTTCTTTTCTTCCTTGAAGTAGGAGTTCCCAATTCGGGCGTAAGCTCTAAGACACGAGACAATCACAATGACAACCGTCATCATCATCATCATCATCAGCCAGCCAGCTGGAACGGGCAGCCCGACAATCTTGTCGCCAAGCCAGGCATTGGTTGAGGTGAGTTTTGCCCCGTTTTACGACCTGCCTTGCCACCGTTCTGGCCACGTGTTAATAGTATTATTAATATTAAGCAGCAATGTATTAATATATGGCGTTATTGTAGCTCCTGCCGCTCTTGTTCATTGTTTTTCGGGGTGGGGGTGGTGGTGGGGGGGAGAAGAATTCCCAAAAGAGATGAATAAATTGCCCTGATCTTTGCCTGTTTGAAAAGTTAACCTTTTAAAGCTGCCCTCAAGGACAGCGGGATCAATTCGAGAGGCGGCTTAAAAAAAAACCAACCAACCAAACTCCGATCCCTGTTGAGAAAACCATCCCAGGAATGTTGGCCACCTACTTGGCAATCTGTCGATAATCTTCCCGGTTCTCACGGCCCACCTCGATGGCTGCTTTGCACAGTTCTCGGCACTTGCTGTAATCGCCTTTCTCAAAGTACACCGCTGAAAGCCGAGGGAGAATGAAGGGAAAAAAAATCACACACACACACACACACAAAGGCAGGTGTGAAACTGGGAGAAGTACAGATGCCTTCCCCACCCAATGATGTTGGTAAGCGATGCCTGTCTTCTCTCCACTAGCTGGAGGAGGAGGAGGAGGAGGAGGAGGAGTAGAGTGGGGTTCTTGGTGCTCTCTGAGCTTGGTGGTTTCCTTGCAGACCTTTCATGACCCAACTAGATAACATCATCAGTGCTAGAAGGGAGGAGGAGGAGAAGGAGGAGAGTGGGGTCCTTGGTGCTCTCTGAGCTTGGTGGTTTCCTTGCAGACGTCTCGTGACCCAACCAGGCAACATCATCAGTGCTAGAAGGGAGTGGGGTTTGCAGAGAGGAGGAGGAGGAGGAGGAGGAGGAGGAGGAGAGTGGGGTCCTTGGTGCTCTCTGAGCTT